AGGGAGGAAAGAAAGGAAGAAAAAACAGGGTGGGGGAAGAAGATGAAGACTAGAAAGGAAGGGAAGGTGGCGAAAGAAACAGGAAGTGGTGTAAGTCTAAATAGAGTCATCCACAGAGAGACAGTTTCGCTCTATCACAGCTTCTCAGTGTGGCTAAACGTTCGATTGCTTCAAGCCGAGATCGAAACCTGAGTGATTAGATAGCAGGAAGACATCTTACCAATAGTTCATAATCGCGCGGGAGAAAAAGGAGGGAATTTTAACGTTTTTTCTCTATAGGAAATACGCCAGTGGCTCCGAGAACTCAATTCATACTTGAAGAGTAATGCTTAATAGCAATAGGAGCCCATATATATATATATATATATATATATATATATATATATATATATATATATATATATTCAAGTGGATCCAAGTGAATCCTTTTAACACAATATAATATAGTGTATATTTGGACTAACACCACTTCCTGTTTCTTTTTTGCCACCTTCCCTTCCTTTCTAGTCTTCATCACAGTGCCTTGTCAGATGCCTTTAATGAAACCTGTATAAATGAAGGATTGTTGTCAAAATACCCAATGATATTATATATTACACACACGCGCATATATATATATATATATATATATATATATATATATATATTTCTGAGATGAGGTATTGTAGCTATTTGCACTATTTATATTGTTTGGATTGTTGCCCTCATCTTTATTGTCATATTCACGACGTTTCAGCTGTTGTAGTCTCCAGCCTTCTTCAGATGACATGCGTTGAAATTTAGAACTGAAGCCTTTATATAGTTCACGGGATTAAATAATCGATAAAAATTGATATGCCGCTAAACAAAATCAACCAAACCAAACCAAACTAAACCAAGACTACAACACATATGATGTGCGGGTAGTGCAGATATTAGCAGTTCGGGAAGAAAACTCGGGGAGCTGAGTTCGAATCCCGCCAGCGGTTGTTATATTCACTTTGACAAAATATACTCTAAGGAAAGATATGAATCCACTCCTTCGCCTTATTTTGGGGTAAATAGAAATACAGACTGGGATTTCTAGCCTTGCTTGGCAATCAATCTAGAGACAAATGCTGACGCGATAATAATAATAATAATAATAATAATAATGATAATAATAATAATAATAATAATAATTGACGTAATGAAATTGCACACACCTTGGTTCCCCCTCACATGATTGGCTGGTGTCAGCCATAAATACAGACTGATGTGGAGGTACAGGGGGACGTCTATTGACGACACCTATTAACTACGCCTATTGCCTACGCCTATTGCCTACGACTATTGCCTACGTCTATTGCCTACCACTACGACGAGGACCAGTCCATTACGGTCACCTGCTAGAATGTCCTACCCGGTTACAGTAATCAACAACCACTTTGCTACTTCGAACAAATATATCCCTTTCCCGGATATATCAATAATAATAATAATAATATTAATAATAGCGATATATGTGCATTGGAAGATGTACAAAAAGTACAACATCGAAACCACTGAGTTACCACATTTACCCAAAATAACGATATAGCTATCCTCTGGGACATTCCAATTCAAATTGACAGGGAAATAAAAGCCAACAGACCTGATATTATCATAAAAGACAAGAAATTCAGGAAGTGTATGATTATTGACATAACAGTACCATCTGAGAGAAACACCGCCATGAAAATTATCGAGAAATTGTCCAAATACAAGGACCTGGGGATCGAGATTAACAGGATGTGAGGAATGAAGACTGAGACTGTACCAATAGTAATCGGAGCACTGGGCCTCGTGAGAAAAGGAATGGGCAGTTTTACTAACAGTGTCCGAGGTAACATCAACTTACAAGTTGCCCAGAAGATCGTCCTACTCGGAACATCCTACTAAGAAATGTGCTATCACTTAAATTACAATTCTCCTAGTTTGGACCGGGTCCTACAGGATACAAAGTAGGAAACATAACATACACAAATAATAATAATAATAATAATAATAATAATAATAATAATAATAATAAAAGGCATTTAATTTGAGCCACTCCTGGAACTAAATTGGCCCGTAAAAATTGGATAGTGACAGAAGTTCTTAAAACATGAGTTGCGCAATCTGACGCACGCGGAGACAGTGTGTCTTGCTTTTCCTGAAGCCCTTAAGAATCGGATGCTTACACGTGATTTCTTTCTAGAATCGTTGATGTGTTCAGACACGTGACTCCGGAAATATGACGAAATCGGAGAGCGGCGATGACAACATTGTAATAAAAATCGAAGAATTTGTAACGAGTGGGGGGAACAACAAAAAAAAAAAAAAAATAAATCAACATTCAATTGCTCCCGTAGCCGAATTCGTCATTTCGCCAAGCATAAAAGTGCCAACACGCATAAAGAAACGCAACTGAGCATGAAGTGGTTACCTGAGACTAATTCCAGGAACATTCTTCGCGTATAAAGGGTGCGATGGATAAATTGTCGTCTAAATGATGCCAAACTGAAAATAACACTGACATCTCATTTTATCTGATATACAGGGTGCGATGGATAAATTGTCGTCTAGATATTGCAGAATATTGCAGAATAAATATAAATATTGCAGAATTTAACACTGGCGTTTTAACAGATATACAGGGTGCGATGGATAAATTGTCGTTTAAATGACGCAAAAAATTAAAAAAACACTGACATCTCATTTTAACATGCAGAATGCGATTGATAAATTGTCGTCTAAATGACACAAAAATGAAAATAACACTGACATCTCATTTTAACAGACATACAGGGTGCGATGGATAAATTGTCGTCTAAATGACGCAAAAATGAAAAAAAAACAAAAAAAAACAGATAAAGCGGGTGCGATGGATAAACAAAAAATGAAAATAACCCTGACATCTCATTTTAACAGATCTTTGGTGCGATAGATAAACTGTCGTCTAGATGACGCAAAAATGAAAGCAACACTAAGATCTCATTTTTGACAAGATATATTTACCAAAATTACACAAAAAATATATTGAAATACTAGTGAATCCATTCAGTAAAATCGCCATTGGCTACAATCTCGGCCTCCAGAGGATTTCGGAATCTCCTGCAACTCTTCTGGACGGTCTCCTTGTTTAAGCTGCTGAATGCTGCCGTAATCTTTGTTTTCAGTTCATCTTTGGTGTTACAAGAATTTTTGTTGGTCTCTCGCTCAACGGCACCCCACACATAATAATCAAAGAGGTTGCTGTCTAGGGTGTTAGGTGGAAACATGTAATGGATGATGGGGCCGCAGAAATTGTCTGGTAGCCATGACTGGGTTCTCCTGCATGTGTGGCATGGTGCAATGTCCTATTGCCAGACATAGGATCTTATTGAAACCATCCCCTTAACCCAGGGCAGCCCAACCGCCTCAACGCACTTTATGTAGGCCTCCGTGTTGAATTTAAGGCCCTGTGTGAAGATGAATGGAGGCACAACGACGCTATCACTAGTGACCACTCTGGAATCATCTGTACTGTCCTCATATTGAGACCCAAACACTCTGAAATGTTCGTACTGGAGCTTCTAGCAGGGGTTAAATCCCTGGCTTGGTCATGAACATGCGACCGTTGATTACATCAGGGGGGGAACTCTATCCTCATGGAAGTTCTCCGTCCAACGATGCCCTGTCATCAACTCATTGACTACTTACATTGCAATGGAGCCCAGACTAAACATTGTATTAGATGGTCGTTGATAAGAAATTCCATTCGTCCTCTAGCCAAGAACATCTCCCGACTGGAACAACACCCCTTCATTCACCCGATTGATCCGACAAGACGGCCATCTGCTCTTTGTCAGGTCTTCTATTTTTCGGCGAGAGGTCGGTCTTAAAAGTAACAGAACTGGATGTGCTGTGTGAGCTAAAGGCATCGTCTACAGTGAGTTCTTGCCACAGGTCCAGACGATCAATCAGTTGGTAAAGAGCTCCTGTGGCGTTTGTTTCACACAGTGCCCGAGAAGAGACGAGAGTTGTGACAGGACAAATCGTGGCTGCTTCACCACCTGCTCACCAGCATCCGGCAGTTCCTGGCCGAGAACATCTCCCTACTGGAACACCCCCCCTCCATCGAGAATGATTAGCGTTCTAGAGTCTGAATGAATGTAGAGTTGTGTGTATGGTTGGCTTAATGATTGTTCGAAATTATATAAGTCCCGCATTAATTTTGTACAGTGAACTGACATTTTTGCCATAATTAATTATTGTCGCGTTTTTTTTTATTGCTAACACCAATTTGTATACAAAAATTACACATTGTAAATATGCGTTAGGTTTCATTTTGAAAGTTGTTACTTTATCCCCGTCAAAGACAAATTGAACATATGGTGATTACCTAGGGCTTCACAGAGACCTGAGGTATTATGGTGACTGTAGTAAGAATAGTAAATAAGAATGTGGTATTTTGGTGAAAGGAATATTGTATATTTTGTTCGTGTCAGTGATTGTGGCTAGCTAAGTTTAAGATCGATTGATGACCAAACTTCCCCATGTCACCTTTTCGCCTTGTGCCATATTAACTGTTTACAGAAATAAATATTATTTGAGGAGTGGTTGATTTACTCAAGTTTATTCCGTTCTATGTATGAGAATTTAATAAACATCTTCTTTGTTTCTTCTACCTAGTCTTCTGTTCCTGAAAAGTGAACATTGAAGTCAACACTCAGAGGCGACAGACTGTTTTCTGCGAGACGTAATCGTCAAGCCACCTGATTGCGTCTAGCATGAAACAGTCTTGACTGTTGACTTCAATGTTCACTTTCATATATATATGTGTGTGTGTGTGTGTGTGTATTTCTTTTTAAACTTTTGTGCTATTGTGACTATATAGTCGATATATGTATTCGCAGCTTCAAAATGGACTGTGGAAATTTCGGAATCAGCTTAATTCTTTGACATGCTTTTAGTGATAACACTAGTGTTTTTTTTTTGTTTTTTTTAATCAACAGCTGGCGTCAAAGAAATTTCTGTTTTTATTTCAACTGTGAATGAAAATGGAAGACGAACCAAGCAAAATGATCTATTACTAAAAAAAGAAAGAAAGAACCGAAAAAGAAAGAAAGAAAGAAAGAAAGAAAGAAAGAAAAAGTGAAGAAGAGGAAAATGAACAAAGAGGAGAGTGGAAAAATAAATAAATAAATAAATAAAGAAAGAAAGAAAGAAAGAAGACATATATGGAAATAAGTAAATATAAATAAAAAAAGAAAGAAAGATAGAAAGGAAAAAGAAAGAAAGAAAAAGGTGTATGTAGAAATAAATAAATAAATTAAGATATAAGGAAATAAAAAAGGAAGAACGGGTAAGTGAAAATAATTAAATAAAAATGAAATGTGGAAATAAAGAAGAAAGAAAGAAAGGAAGGAAGGAAGACAGAAAGAAAAAAGAGAGAAAGAAAGAAAGAAGACATATATGGAAATAAGTAAATAAAAATAAAAAAGAAAGAAAGAAAGATAGAAAGGAAGACAGAAAGAAAGAAAAAAGAAAGAAAGAAAGAAAGAAGAGTCAAACGAAAAGAAAGAAGAAAGTGAGGAATTTAAAATGATGCGATAAATCGTCTAAAACGAAAAAGACATGCATGAAAATGGGCTGAAAAGCGACAGAAGGAAAGAAAGGCTGAAACATATACACTAAAAACTGATTCAAAATAAGAAAGAAAGAAAGAAAGAAAGAAAGAAAGAAAGAAAGAAAGAAAGATAGATAGATAGAAAGAAAAAGTTAAAATAAATAAAGAAGGAAGAGGGGAGTGGAAAATAAATAATTAATTAATTAAATAAATAAATAAATAAAGAAAGAAAGAAAGAAAGAAAACATAGAAATAAGTAAATAAAAAAAGAACAAGAAAGAAAGGTAGAAAAGAAAAAGAAAGAAAGAAAAAATGGTATGTAGAAATAAATAAAGAAAGAAAGAAAGAAAGAAAGATATAAAGAAATAAAAAGGAAGAACAGGTAAGTGAAAATAAATAAATAAAAATGAGATATATGGAAATAAAGAAGAAAGAAAGAAAGAAAGAAAGGAAGGAAGAAATAAGGAAAGATAAAGAAAGAAAGGAAGAAGTAAGTGAAAATTAAGAAAGAACGGGTATGAGAAAGAAAGCAGGAAAGAAATGTATCAGCTTGAAGAAAGAGAAGAAAGAGATAGAATTAGATACAAAGAAAGGAAGATAGAACAACGCAAAACACGTAAAAAAACACTATCTATCTATCTATCTATCTATCTATCTATCTATCTATCTATCTATCTATCTAAGCCTGTTCCTATCTATCTATCTATCTATCTATCTATCTATCTATCTATCTATCTATCTATCTATCTATCTAAGCCTGTTCCTATCTATCTATCTATCTATCTATCTATCTATCTATCTAAGCCTGTTCCTATCTATCTATCTATCTATCTATCTATCTATCTATCTATCTATCTAAGCCTGTTCCTATCTATCTATCTATCTATCTATCTATCTATCTATCTATCTATCTATCTATCTTTGTCTCTTCATATCCATCTATCTATCTATCTATCTATCTATCTATCTATCTATCTATCTATCTATGTCTCTTCATATCTATCTATGTCAATTCATATCTATCTATCTATCTATCTATCTATCTATCTATCTATCTATCTATCTATCTATCTAAGCCTGTTCCTATCTATCTATCTATCTATCTATCTATCTATCTATCTATCTATCTATCTATCTATCTATCTATCTATCTAAGCCTGTTCCTATCTATCTATCTATCTATCTATCTATCTATCTATCTATCTATCTATCTTTGTCTCTTCATATCTATCTATCTATCTATCTATCTATCTATCTATCTATCTATCTATGTCTCTTCATATCTATCTATGTCAATTCATATCTATCTATCTATCTATCTATCTATCTATCTATCTATCTATCTATCGATCTATCTCTCTATCTATGTCTCTTCATATCTATCTATCTATCTATCTATCTATCTATCTATGTCATTTTATATCTATCTATCTATCTATCTATCTATCTATCTATCTATCTATCTATCTATCTATCTATCTGTAAATAATAAAGAAATTATATGAAAAACCAGTAACAGAACGGCAAGTCAGAAGAATCCACATACTGTCACAAAATTCCCCAAATAAAACAAATTGCACCCACAATAATTTGTAAAGCATGGTAATTTAAAAAAAAAAAAGAAAAAAAAAACGCGGTAGGGCTTTTTAACAAGATAAACGAAACCAAACTATATATATGGCTGACAAGGACTTTCATATGTGAGAGAGAAAATATAAATCGCATACAATGATGCGCTATGTTTTCGGCCGTCATGCTTCATGAATATGATATCTAGGGAAGAACTTCTACCGCCCACCAATTATTCACAAAGGATTCCTATTGACCGCAAAACAGAATTTTCAAGTATTCTTCTCTAAACGTTTGTGTGAATGAATCACTAAGATGATGGCGCCGAACATGGAGCTATCAAATGCACGGATGTTCTTCTGGATTCATTTTGAGACCTTCTTAAGTGTTGCAGCTGTCTTGGTTTGTATCCATCCGAAACGTCAATAAGTGCGTACTTAAGCATAAAAAAACCCTCATTTATAGACATTGATAAGGTGAAAGTACAACTTAGTCAAGAAAGCCGCAAGAACTGAACATTTGTGTTTTAATTCACCATACTGGCAAGCCGCTGGCTAACAACCCTATTACTCAAGCTAAGTTTAGTAAGACATAAGGCAACAAAATTGGAGCGCTCAGAGAAGACAGAACTAATTATGCTGTAGGAGTCGACAGTATAACTCGCTATCAAAATGATTATCGACTCCTACAGAATAATTAGTGCATTCTTCTCTCGGCGCTCCAAATTTGTTGTTTGGTGTCTTACTAAACTTAGCTGGGGTAAAATGGTGTTTGCCAGTATGGTGAATTATACAGTCGAGAATATATGTCTGGAAAACCGGAAGACAAAATAGCTACAATTGAAAGAAAATAGGAATGGGAGAGAAAAGGGAAACACCAATAAGGAGTTAGTGTAAAGTAAAAAAAAAAAAAAAGAAAAAACGATGAAAAAGAAGAAAAACACGACATTCTACACACACGCACATACGCGCAGACTGGCCCATACGCACATACGCGAGAACGAACACACACATACGTACTCACACATATACTATGAAAAACTTGCAACAATGAAAAATGCATAAAAAACAAAAATCGAGTAGTAGTCAATTGGTGATATTCGCCAGGAGAGTGAATGGAGTGATTCCCGGAGTGTCCGTCTACGAAACTCTGAAAACCTTTTACTTAATATATATATATATATATATATATATATATATATATATATATATATATATATATCGATTCTGTAGTTTCGTATACGGTGCTTCCAACCTCACTCCGTCCACTCATTATGAGCAGCAATTGACTTTTATATTGAGTTAAAAAAATAATTTATACACATTTTGTTGGAGCAACGTTGATTTTTTTTTGTCTCTTAAGAAGTAAATGATTTCTATTTATTTATCCGACATATATTTTTATCACTTTAAACGTTATTTTTGGTGCATACTCATATCGGAGTAGACACACCTTTTATTTTCGTTTATCGGGCGTGACATTTGGGAAATTTTAATAAAGATAATCTCGCCCACTGTCAAACTTGTGTCAGTCTTTGCACGAGGTAAACCGTCTTTAGACCCGACGTGTTCGTTTACAGACTCGGCCACGAAGGACGACGTCGATTAAGCAAGGTTCTATATTGCCTTTTAAGTTCATTCCTCCCGTTCAGATTCACAAAAGTTCATAACTGTTCTTTAACGAAGTGTCTACCAAAATATATGTAACCACTAAAATAACGTTTAAATGCTATATATATATATATATATATATATATATATATATATATATAGAGAGAGAGAGAGAGAGAGAGAGAAAAAAGAAAAAAAGCCGCAAACGTTTTTTGTTATAATCTGGATTTTTTAAATATATATTATACTTTATTTTCCATATTTTTGCTACATGGGTTTCCGGTCTCGCGATCTTCATCAGGTAAAGAGTGGTTAATTCGACATATTATTAAAAGGAATTAATTTTCCTCGTGTTTTCCGATGTTAGACCATTGTCCTTTGTGTGTTAAACATCGGAAAAAATAATGAAAATTAATCTTGCAGTTGATATTTAGTCCTTTCTTCTCGCTTTTTCTCACATTGCCTTCTGTGGGAATGCATGCAGTGTCTTTTTTGTGTCTGCTGTCAATACTGTGTCCATCTAGAGGGCCGGTGCTCGGAAACGTAAATGTAATTAATACTCTTTGATTAAAAAAAGTGTTTATTCAAATAAGTTGTATCCATATAAATAATGTATAAACAGAAAATATATTAAAATATTTAACGGATTTAATCCATTTCATCTAATATGTTGTCATTGTTTACGTTAAGTTATGTTTCGGAGCAGAAAAGAGTTATTGAGGAAAGTCGTCGAATGTGTGTTTATAAGCAGTAATTTGAACTTTGCTAAATGGAATCCTCTGTGGTTGAATTTGTTTGCAGCACCTCGGGCCAAATGACGGGATACAGGTTCGGTTCCTGTCGAAAGGCGCATAATTTTTACGAGATTTCTCGAATATTCCGGTCAGTCAATGTAATTAATACTGTTTAATTAAAATAGAGCATTTATTCAAATAAGTTGATTCCATAAAAAAAAATAACGTATAATTAGAAAATATATTAAAATAATTCTTTGTGTCACTCAAAGTTTAAGAGTGTGATTTTGAATGTGCGTACATAATTTATACGCGTATGTCCCTGACTGAGCAGCCACTGTTAGTTTGGGCAGAAATTTGTAAAATATTTATCTTAAAATAATTTTTTATGAAAATCGGTTTCTCAAGTCCACTAACTTTTAACACTCTTTCTTGTATTGACAGGGACTTCCTTCCTAAATATGTTTGTCGATATCTCGATTAAATAATTATTTTCCCTTTCGGCTATATGTGATATCAATTTCAGTTGTTGCCGTTGTTGGAAGTCTTCAAGTAATGTTGGTTTTGTTACTTGGTAAAGTTATTTCTTTCTGATTCTGTAATGTCAGTCTACGGTATAAGTGGAAGGACAGTCCTCTACAAGACCCACAGCGTTTATTCGCTTGAATCAATTGTAATCAACGATCTGGGAAAACGAACCAAGTTACGAGGCAATGTAGTCTCTGCTTCACTAAAAGAATCTGTTCTTCATCTCTGTTTTTATTTATTACTTATAAAAATCTTTCCGTATTTTATATCCATCTTTATTACGTCCATCTGTCTCTTTCGATATAATATAACTTATATCATTTGTCTCGCTTAGTATTCCACAGAAATCAGTGCTCAGCAGAAAATGATAAAAATCATGCTTTCTTTATACTTTTAGTCTGTGTATATATTAACCTCTACCCCAAATAATGTCGCTTCCTCTTGGCTTTCTCTGTTTCATACTTTATGACGATATACCTCAAGATTAGAACGGCACTTGGCTCCAACGAGACGATCTGTCTTCTCACTCACCATACGATTCATTCTCCGACAGACGGTCAGTATAATTTTCCTCTCGTCTTTTTTTATTCATATATATATATATATATATATATATAT